AGAAAATTTTTTAATAGTCATACAGAAACTGAAGATTATATTCTAAGACAGACCTGGCTTTCTTTTTGATGGATCCACTATGTTTAGTTATAATATTTTTTGTAATAAAATTGGGGGAAGGAACATTTTAGTTACTACTATAATGAAATATAGAACTTATTTTTGTAGAACTTAGGAAATAGTTTCTTAGTTTTTCTTAATTTTGTATGTGTCCTCTCAAGCAGAAAGAATGCTGGTACAGATTGAAAGTGTTCACACAGTTTTTCTTCCTGTGTGCTTGCCAAAGGTGCAGAGAAGACAGATTTTTAAAAGTTGTGTGCAAGCTGTACCAGTGCAGTCAAGAGGGGTCTGGAAAACTTTTCTGAAATGCAACTTTTACAAACTCTGCTAGAACTTGGAGCTTGCTATTTTACAAGTTCCCTGTAAAGTGTTTCATATAGCAATCTAGTTAATGCATCAGCTTCTGACAAAAAACTTCTTAGAAGCTGGGAAAAGAGGTGGGAGGGGTTAGTCTTATTTTTATTTTTAAGCTGCAATTGATTCTAAAATACAATTATGATATACCAAACAGTACATTGATAAATTTTTTGAGTGCTGTATCAGCTTCCCGTAGTTATGCTTTTTTTAGCTAGCAAGCTATAAAAATGGACATACTGTACTTGTTCAAGTCAGAACTGACTACCTTTCGTTTTTTGCCGTTCACAGAAATCCATTGCATTCTGTTTGCTATTCATCAGTCCAATAGAAGCATCAATATTGCAGAACCAAGTAACAGTCTTCACTTTGGTTTGTCTTCCTGAGTGCAAACAAGGGGAGGGTGCACCTCATACAAATTAATACATGAATCAAGCAGTATAAGCAGTAGTTGGAGTCTTAGATTAAGTAAAAAGGATTTAAATAGAATTTGATGCTGAGAGTCCTTAACTGCACTTCTAAATTTCTAAGTATTTTTATACTTCTGAATTTCTCAATGGTTTTACTTCCTGGTTTTTATTTTTAGCTGGCTTTGTTATTTCATGTTTATCTTATGCAGTAGTTCTCCAGCTAGTCTAAATCTGTTTGTTCATGATCCTTGGAGAGATGGCTGGACACATGATATAGATTCTCCAAATTTAGTAGCAGTAAATTTCAGTAATCAGCAGTTATCTGCTTTACTTTAGTTATTAATACTTCACATTGCAAAAAGTGTAGTTCTCCCAATCTTTTGCCATGGTTGTATGGGGAGTGTTGTTAAGATAATCAGGAAATAGTGAACACACTTTTTTTTTTTATGTCAACATTACCAAAACTCTTAAATTAGTGCTAGGTATCTCTGCTCAAATATTCATTTTTTTATTCATAGAATTATTTAAAGCTTTTTTTTTTTTTTTTTTACACAACTTTATAATAGTCTTAGAAATATTCAACTGTTCAACTGCTTACTAGAAGGTATGGGTGGACCTATTATACATGGAGAGTGTGTGTAAGCTTGGTCCTGGATTACTGCACCTCTTTGAGGGGAAGTGAGGCAGATTTATTGCCTAACTGTGTTAGAGGTATTTAAATTTAAAAAAACCAAACACATGCAATTAAATTGCTAGTTTAGAGATAATTTTTTAAAATTATTTAATTTTATTTTTTCTTTTTAGAACTTAGAAACTTTAGAACTTTTTAGAACTGCAGTCTTAAACAGCAATTAAAAATCTCACTGTTACTGCAGGAGAAGAGCAATCAAGGTATATAGTTTATTCTTCTAATTCTTCTTCCTCTGACCAGAAAGTAACCTCAATTAAGTTGAGTGAATTAACTGAGTATTGCAGGTTATGCCTGAACCAAATAATAATGGAATAGTAGCCAAAAGTACACAAATAGCTTTAATGTTCTGAAATATTTCAGTGGAATCTTTTCTTCTTTTTAAAAATACATGCATATCACTTTAAAGGCTGCTGACACCACAAATTAGATGGAAAGACAGTTCCTTAACGAAGAAGCAAGAATGCAGGAATAAAATAATATACTTCTAAATCTTAGATTTGAGAAGGAACAAGAGTAATAAATTCTAGTATGTTTGCAGTGTAAATACTGCAGTGTTGAGTAAGCATATGACAAAAATAAAATGAAACTATTGTTTTCACTTGGAGATAGGGGTGTAAACAGTGTATGAGAAAGATGCAGCTACACACACTTTTAGATCTGAGAATCTTAGAGAATGGAAATGTTCAGATTTCTTGGTAGTGAACAGTGAAATTTTCTTTTTCCCAGATTAATTCAATAAAACCCTAAAAGTATTTTCCAGTGTTGAGCTGCCATTGTGTGTACTCATAGCTAGTGGTGTGTTGGTGGCACTGAACTGTTAGAAGAGAGCTTGGCAAATTTACCAGCAGTTGTCCAAAAAGCTACACTGCAAAATGTCCTGTCTAACATAGAAGTATCTTACTCCATTAATGGAATGCACAGAGCAGGACACACTTGTCAAAAATGCCCCTCTTCATGCTGTGCCACCTCAGTGCAAACCCTGTCTCATTTCTGGTTCAGCTAAGCTAACCTGGGGAAACTGAGATAAGGACACTTGTAATTGCTGATGTCAGGGCTGTAGAAGATGCACTAGTGGATAAATGTAATGCTTTTACACTGTGGAACACTTCAGTCTTTCAGGTTCATCTTCAGTTTCCTAATTTTAATCTGAAATAAGGTTGGGAAAGGGTCACAATGAACAGTGAAGCAATAGCCTTGCTTTCATATTGGATCTGTTTTGTATTAATGAGTAAGGATGTGTTTTGTATTAATGAGTAAGGAACTAAAGCAATGGAATATGGTTGTGAGCAATGGTGTATAACACGATTGATGAGGAAGAGCTTCTGGCCAAGAAGTATCAAGGGAGTGCCTTTTTTGTGTGACCAAAAGGCACAAGGCAAATGTTTGATTTTATATCATGTTCTTGGGTATTAGAGACAACATACAGTGTTTAATACAAAGTCCTTGGTGTCTCTTACTCCAAGTCACTGGCCTGTCAGTCAGATTGCAGGCCTAGTGGTACCTTCTGGATATAATATGTTACATAGAGGTTTAAGGAGGTTATTAGTAGTTATTGTAGCATTTAAGGAGCTTATTAGTGTGTATAGTAGCCAGAATTGACTTGTAGTTGGTTTTCATAGGGTCAGAAAAGATTGAGTTTGGCTTGGTGTTGTCATAAACTGAACTATAAACAATAAAAACCGAAAATTATATTTTATGTTGGGCTTGGTCTTTGATAAATCAACTAAAAAATTACTGAAATCAAGGAAAGGCTCCTTCATTGCTTGGGAACACTCTAACTGCTAAAACAAGGGCAAATACATATACACATACACTTCTCTCTTTTTTCCTTTTTTTTTTTTTTTTTTAACAGTTCCAGTACATTTTTTTCAAAGAGCATTCCTGACTTGGTATGTGAGCTGCTTCTGAGGAATTTCAGTTTTGCATCTTCAGGATCCTTCTTCCTCAGCAGAGCTCTTGCTTATAGGAACTTGGGAAATGTAATGTAACTTCTTGCATACATGATTCCCATCTTTTATTGAGGTCTTCTTTGTCAATCTGTCTCTCATCCACAGACTTAAAACATGAGGATGGAGGTAGGAGAAGCACTCATGGTAACAACTATATTGACTTTATGACCAAAGCATAATGGTACACAGCTTTGTGCAGACATTCCTGGATTTCAGTGGATTCCTAGCTCAGCTTATCACTTCTTATCTTAGACTTCTCTTTTCATTCTTTTCCTGCTCCACAACCCCTTCTCTCACATAGACTGCCTTCAATTTTATGTGATAATTTGCTTATTCTTCTTGCAGATTAGATCTATTTTAACAGCAGTGTAGAAAATATACAGTCAGATTGTGTTGAATTTTGGGTTGGTTGGTTTCTTTTGGGACATTTTGTAGTAAAGCTAAAAAATAACACCAACAACAAAACACCTTCCAAAATCATTTAAAAAAAAAAGAAAACTCAAACAGTCTGGAATCCTGTAATTCATGCAAGGTTTTGTGTTCATGTTTTGTATAGGTGGGTGGAATTACCTGCAAGTTTTCTTACTAATGTACTTTCTGTAGAAAATAGCATAATAGTTCTGCCAAGTCTTCATTTCATGGTGTGTATAGTTTAATTTTAAAGGTATTTAGTTATGCAGCAGGAAAAAACCTTTCCACACTTAAGCTAGAACCTGAAATCGACCAGACAATTGAAAGAATAGTATCTGTTAAACACATGGAGTTTCAAATGAAGAATTTGGCCTGAATTTAAAAATGAGAAATGCACTTTCACAGGTATTAAATGTTGCCGCTGTCTTATTTAAGTAATTTTCTTTCAATCTTTTAAAGTAAATCTCTAAGTACAAAACAATATTTTTTCTTTCTAGAGAATATTTTTCATAATCTTTTTCCAGAAAAGTTGAAGTAAATCTTTTACTCTTGGCTAGCATTTTTGCTAGCATCTATCTTTATCTATGCCTTCCATATTACACCTATATATGGTGGAGATTTTGTCTTTACTTTTTCTTCTCTTGATTTATGCCTAGCACAGTTTCTTCAGGGGGGAGACCAACTGTCAGAGCATATGTTTACAGTATAGGTTTATTTTGATTTTGCACTCCTGCTTTAATTCACCATGGTAAGTTGGGTAAGTTGTGCCTATTTAATTTAGTTTGCCTATTTCAGCTGTCTGATTTTAAAAATAAACATAGGTAGTAAGAGGTGGGGTGGGGATAAGTGTAAATAGAGCTGTGCATATATAAAATATACTGGAAATGGCTCTTTGATGCAGTTCCTAAAGTTAGCATTCCTATCTGGATAAACTATATAAAATGTGTTGCTGCTGTTACCTGTAAATTTACGCTGGCAATCTCACTTTAATTGGCACATTTGTGGCAAAGGACTCTCCTAGCAGATATTTCCCTGCTGTATTACTGTAGGAACAAAAATAGGAAGGGAGAAAATTCCCAAACCTTTCCCCCACATGGCCTGCCAAATCTCTTTTTGTGCTTCCAGATAGCCCTGTTAATTTCCAGAAGTTGTCTGTCATGACCTGACTAGAAGGCTTATTGCAATGGAGGGGCGTGCTTGGGTCCATGCTGTGTAAGTAGCTTTTGTCTTAACAGTTTAGTATAAAAGCATTAAAGAAAGCATAATTCATGTTATCTAGGGAACTAGTAAAAGGACTGCACAGACTTAAATCTCTGGCATTCTTTAGTCTAAGAAAATTATACCTAGCAGTGCCATGAACTCCACATCTCTGACCTACATCAAGTAGCATGGTCAATTCCAGGCTGGGGGCAGATGAACTCCTGCCCATAATAACAGATAAGTTACTGTTCTTGCTAACAATTATTTTGGGTTATAATTTTTTTCTCCTCTGAAGTTAATTAAGGCTCTTTTGAATCTGTCTGCCCAAAAGTTGCAGTAACGGTAAGCGGCAGAGCTAACAGATGGCTTGAGGACTGATAGAATAGTTCACAAAAGTTTATTTTGAAATTAGCTCTTATTCTCTTTCATATGAAAGTTTTTGGGTTTTCTTTTCACATCCAAGTTTCCAGATGACAAAAAGCCAGATTAGAAAATAACCCAGAGTTTTTTGCTTTCTTTTGAAATAAACATCTGCATAATCTTTAGTTCCTCTAACTAGAAACACAGTTGTCCAGTTTGTGATTCGTGTCTCATTAAGGTATTATGCACACATGACAACAAAGTCTCGAGCTTCACTGTAAATAGTCAGCTTGGCAATAGACAGATGTTTTCTAAATATTTTGTAGCTCATTAACACAACTGATGTTACTACATGAAAGCTAAAGTTCAATAAGAAAATTCTGCATTCAGCTCTGAGTATGTTTGTGTTTCCTTGAAGCATGGTAGACACCTTGGCATAACGTAGCAGCACATAATGGTTTGTGGGTTTTGAAAAGGTGCAGGCCATATTGTGCTGCCTCAAAAATACAAGGATTTCATCACCCTGAAGAGACATGCCACTTATGAATTAGTCAATCTTGTGATGCTGATGTCTGTCATACTTTAGCAGCACGTAAATATTGGTGTTAAGACTGTAAATATCTCCAGTATTAACTGTGCTGCTGAAGTAAGGCTAGCCACTTCTGCACGCGAGTCGTGGAACAGGACATTGCATGTATTCCCTGTGCCTTTTTGTTGCTATAAATTTATCTGTTGTTTGTATATGAACACTTTCTTAGCTTTTTTTGTATTTTCATTTATTCAGAAAGTATATTAGAGCTTCATAGTATCTGTTGGTAAATAAAATAGATATATATATATAATTTTGTTTTGGTTTATGTGAAAACTGAGCTTTTTTAAGGAGCCATCTCAAGCTACACATGTCTAAGAATGCTTTGGTAAGTGTGCTTGTTTATATATTTTAAAACTATAAAAATTAAGTTACTTTAATTCTCAACACATTTCTTTATTAAAACTCGTAAAACTGTTAATTTCTACAATCTTTTCTAAATTAGTGGAACTGGGAAGTATTTGGTCATGCTTTTAACAAAGAGAGCTCATTAAGAAAAAGTGTCTTTCAATTTTTTTAGCAAAACTTATTAACCACTTCATTTCTTAAACTACTGGGCTATAGACAGGTAACAGTTTTATGGTTAGAAGTTTAAACTGTGTATCTGACTGTGAATTTACTAATTTTTTTTCTCATCTTCCACTAAGACTTTTCTCTTGCAGGAGAATCTTTCATTGAAATGATTGAAATTGCTGCAGTGAGAATGGAAATTACTTGGGCTCCTTTCCTTTTAAAAGCTGCATGCAAGAACTGTGTGGTGAGTCAAATGTAGACTAATGGTTATGTAAATGTCACTAATTTTAGATGCAGATCTGAAAGTGTGTTTCCTTTTAAGATTTTATTTTCTTCACTATCATGACTCAGTATCACTTGCTAATCTAATTTTATTAGCCCTGTTGTATTTTACCATTTAAAATACACATACCTTATTCAAATAGGTCTTCACAGAGTCAAGTTAATACATCATATAGATGTTTTAAAAAGAGGAAAAAAGGCTTATCTGCACTCAAGAGTTGTTTTGATTTTAGCCTTCACAGAACTGCTACTGGTGCAGTTGCACAGGTACAGACATGATGTAGATGAATATGAATCCAAGTTGTTATAATTCATTAGTCTGCATTATTTGACCATATTTCATAATTTCAGACTGGTAAAATCACATTCTCATTTTCTACTACTGCTATGAATTAGAACTGACAAAATTACTAATAGCTAAAATTTCCGATTTAGTTCAGACCTGAGCAGTTCTCAATAGCACAGCTATGCAGAATTAGATAGCCTACAGCTTTTCATAAAGAACATATGTGTGCACATTTACCTACTACATTTCTCTTAAGACACATGACCAAAATGGAGTTGACTGCTTAGAAAAAATATCCTATCTGGCTCAAAGCTGGATATCTTTCTCATTGAGTTTCTTTAGGTAAGTTTCTTTAGGGAGTTTCTTTTCTTTCTTTCAACCTATGTAACTGCTAAATATTAAAGATCTGCACATATACTTCAGCCATTTGAGGACTTAGAATGCTTGGAAACACCTTAAAGGTCTCTGCTTTTTTTCATCATGCTGCAGACTGGTGTTTGCAGCAGGCCCATCCATCCAGTTGCTCTTGTAGATCTAGTATTTTAATGTACCCAGGATTTTTCTCAGAGACTTCCATGAGTAGATACGAATCTAAAGAGCTGATCAAAGACTTGAGAGCATACAACAAATAAGTCTATTTGCCTGGCTTTGTCAAAGTCCAGTGGCCAAACTGTTCCTGACTACTGCATTGTACTCGTGTTGGCCTTTGTGAGAAGAGTGAAGCAGCCTGTGCTTACTTCTGGTTCACCATGCAAACTCCTATCACTGGCACAAGGGCAGGAAATAGCAGGGAGCAGGAAGAAGCAGAAGGGCAAAGGTTGGAGTGCCTTGTTCGGTGGCCCTAGCAGCATAGAATAAATAGTTCAGTGACATGGTGAAAACATAGTTTGAGCATTTGCAGAACCAGAGTTCAACTGAGGAGCCAAAGTTCCTGTCTGGATAAGAAAACTACTTCAAGTGCTTATGAAGGCCTACTCAAATGATTCACTTCCTAAACCTTTGTGAGAAATGTAACATCCTTTTCATGGTTCTCAGGTGGCATAATATTAGCAGTTAGATTTTCCAGAGGCTTGCCTGTATGGGTGGTGCCAGAGACTGTGGCAGGATCAAACTCACTTCATGTTGTGGCTCTGGGATCCAAAGGACTGTGCCTGATGTAAGAAAGTAAGGTTCACTGTTTTCAGTTCAAGTGCTTATTTTCTGCTAGGCTTAGGAACTGTATGGGAAAAAGATGCTTAATTTGCATAAAAAGGCAAGAAAAGATAGGCCTGCCTGAAAATAAACTGAGACTAATAGCTGTATATGAGTGAAGACAACTAGTTTTAGGAGCATGTCTAAAAGTCCAATGTTAAAAGGTTGGAGCTGAGAACAGATACGGGAAGATCTGATGAACTGGAAAATCAGAATGATTGAAATATGTTGGGCAAAGATTTGGGGGTTTGTTTGTTTATTGAAATTGGAGAAGCAGCAGCCTGACAGAGGGGATCTGGCTTGAGGCAAAGAGAACAAGTCAGGTTTAGGGAAAGAGGCTTGCACTCCTCAGATGATTGCTAACATTCACTGGAGTGCTCTGCACTTCACATCCAGAAGGGAATACAGACTGTTAAGTAGTAGCTTTTGCTGTTGTATGGGAAATCACTGTCAATTTCACCCCCTCCATGTATTCCACAGAGAAGAGGGCAAACCTATTAGTACCCTCAGCTACTTCACGGATTTTGGTCCTGAAAAGAAACCTCAAAGTAAGAGTAGTTGAGTTTGTAAGGGAGATCTCTAGTTCAAACAGTGTAGTTTTTTTAAGGCTATGTCCAGTCAAGTTTGAATATATTCAAGGACGGAGACTCTGCAGCCTGTCCTATTCAGCTAGAATTTCACGCACCTAATTTCTTACCTGTGGTCTCTTGTCCTAATTCTGGACAGAGAAGAGCCTGGCTATGTCTTCTTTACTCTGCTGTACCCCCACCAGTAGGCATTTAGAAACATTGCTGAGATCACACAAACACAAGCCCTTTTTTCTCCAGGCTGCAGTCTCAGCTCACTCAGCTTTCTTCATGTGAAAGATTCTTCAGTTCTCTCATCGTCTTTGTGGAAGTAAATAAAATGCTTCATCTAATAAGGGGATTAGAATTCAAAGGAGGAAATGTTTTTTTGAGGGGTGGGGAATAAAGCACAAGCTAATAACTGTAAAAAGAACAAAAATATCAAAAAATGAAACATTAAGAAGTTAGGTAACTCCTGCTTTAACATTCTGCAATCTTCATTTGCCCCCTTGTGTCAGTATACTATGAAGCAACCTTTGTGATCACACAGAATGTTTAATCTATTGATAGGGTCAGCCTGTGATGCTGGGCTGGGCAGGGTGCTTGTGGGCTGCAAGCAAGAAGCCTGACCGTGCTATAGGTGCTGCAGACATTAGTAAAAAATTCTCTAGGCAATGGAACAAATGGCTGCAAGTAGAGAAAACCATGTCTTCATGGTTATATCAAGTGAGAATTCCTAAGAACTGGATGTGATGTTGATTTTTCTGCCTTTATTCTTGTGTGATGCTGGACAAGTAACCAGGCCATTGTTTCTGTAGCATGTGTATTGTGCTTTACTTCAGAGGTGTCTGATTTAAAACTCACATCTGAAAGAAACACTGGTGGTTCACATTGGTACCTGAGCTTCTTAGGAGTTGTCATTTGAATTATAATACTGTGTAAAGTTATGTCTGCTGACAGTCTCCTCTCTTCTTAAAGAGAACTTCAAACTGTTGCATACTCTAATAGTTTCTACACCTCCGTGTCATGTTTAAAGTAGGGGAAATGGACACAAACCTTGAAGGGCTGGTAGCTACTTTTGTTTAGTAACTGTACTACAGTAATGCATTGCCTTATGCAATTTTCTATGGCATTTAGTAATTCTGATTTCAGAGGAAGAGGTGAGTACTGTGCATCTTTTAAAGACCAGATCTGCAATCAACTTTCCTTGTT